TATATATATACTGTCACAGATACCGTGATCATTACAGTCGATGCGCTTTAATAAATGTGATCATGTGGACCCTTTTCTTACCCCCAACACCGTGGAATATTTGTTTCGATCAAGCTGACTGTGAATCGAATCTATGTGGATCTGTTTTAAAATTAATTCATGGCTGCTATTAATGATTGTATTCCCAAAGTAAAAAGCAAAACACGAATGACACCTATGTGGATCAATTCAGAAATACAGTAATATCATTGTAACGTAAAAAACGACGCTCAGAAAAACATTAAAATAATCCTAAAAAATGTTTTGAGTAAATTATATAATTATTTTCTGGTACATGGTTTTATTCCAAGTGATTGGAAGCTCACAAATATCACTCCTGTATTTTTAAGCCTGGTAATAAGAATGAAATTAGTAATTATAGGCCCATATTCCCGTGTGTTCGATTGTTGGTAAAGTTCTCGAGCGTATAGTTGCTGATGAATTGCTTCCTATTTTCAGTAAGTTTTATTAGTCCATCTCAACATGGATTTACCCACCTTGTGTAACACAAACTGCATGCCTTTATTATGAATGGTCTAAAACATTTTGATGCTGTAAACCCACCTGATTTATGCTATTTTTCTAGATTGGGAAAATGCGTTTGATCGTGTGAGCCACGGTAAACTAATACAAAAACTTCATTATACGGGTAATTTTGGTCCTTCATTGGCCTAAGTCCTTCCTCTTGGGTAGATCCCAGCGAGTTATTTTGCGTGGTCAGATATCCGAGTGGATATGTACTTGGCTCGCTTCTATTTAATGCTTTTGTGTTCACCTCCCCATGGCAATATCATCACAAATTAGGCAATATACTGACGACAATTTTGTTGTCAAGAGAAATTAAAAGTGATCACGATTCTCGTCTACTCCAATATGATTTAAATTCTCTCCCATTGGTGCAATGAAATATGATGAAATTAAACTCTAATAAAAGTGCAAAGTCCTTTCATATTACTGTACTCGCAAAAGAAACTTTATTCCCCATATTACATATACTATTGACTCAGATCCTCCGTCTTGCAAAACTTCCCACACGTACCCCGGCTTAACTTTCCCTCATGATCTTTCGAATGTAAGATATTAACCACACCCAGGACGAAAACCACCCAAAATGGAATATATCATTGTTAATGTAGGGTGGGCAGTTGGGTGGACAATGTTGGGTTAGCCTGTTTTTATCATCTTCACAATAGGATAGATTACACTGTGACTTCCTATTATACGCCTTTAATTCATTCAACACTTTTGACAACATGCATGTATGTTAATAGGCTATCATTGTAGATATCAGTAATCACTGTGCTTAAAGTATGTATTTTAACACAACAATTAACTTCAAAGTTTCAAGTTGAAATTCAAGTGTAAAATGTGTAGAAAAGTTTTAATACATTTAATAATATTTAAAGTATTTGTCTAATATTTCAGTATTCTAAATTTATTTAAATTTCTAAAAGGACATATCTCTACTTCCTTTAAAAAATATTGTTTTCAATTAGATAGTTCCCTGTAATAATAATTTAAATGTAAAAAGTTATCCATTAATTAATGTAGCTTAATAAGATCTTACTATTTTATCTTCTTTTTATCTGTTTTCATTGAATTGTAGTAAAACCAGTATATTTCCTTGTGAATACTATGATATTAGACAAATACCATACCAAGAGAGAAAGAAAGTGTTATTAATGTATTAAAAAATTACTTAAAAAATTCATTTCAGCAAATGAAAACTACAAATGCCTTTAAATGGGCAATTATTTTATAGTGAATAGTTTTTCATCCAATTTCTTATTATTGTAAACATTTTTTTATGATGTATAGTAGGCCTATATTATTACATGCAGTTCTAATCTTCTTTAAATTCAAATTATTACTGTGCATGTCACTTTCCGAATCAAAACAGATAAAAAGATAAAATAGTAAGATCTAAC